TTCTAGAAGGACCAAAAAGATCCATGTGCAAAAGTTGAAGCGGTCTAGACGTTGAAACAACGTTCTTAGACTTAAACGAAGCCCGAACTTGCTTCCCCTTTTGACATGCATCACATATGGCGTCTTTTTCAAACTTAAGTTTTGGAATGCCAATTACTAAGTCTTGTGAAACCAATTTGTTCAAAAGGTTCATGTTCATATGAGCTACCCTTCGGTGCCATAACCAAGTGTCTTCCTCTTTACTCATGAGGCACTTAGCAAAGTCGGAAGGAGATTTGTCTAAGTTAACCATATAAATGTTATCGATTCTATCACCACGTAGAATGACCTTATTGTCACTAAGGCGTTCGTCCGTGCATGATTTTGAATCGAAAGTCACACGGTTTCCCTTGTCACATAATTGACTTATGCTCAAGAGATTGTGTTTGAGACCTTTAACAAGCAAGACATTATCTCTAGAGGAGTTTTCAGATTTACCTACTGAACCAACGCCGATAATTTTTCCCTTGCTATTGTCTCCAAAAACTACGTTTCCTCCTTTAGCGGGTTTGATTTGGAGAAACTTGGATGCATCCCCGGTCATGTGTTTGGAGCATCCGCTATCAAGGTACCAAAGTACACTTGATGCCTTCAAGCATACCTATGAAACACATCAATGAGTTTTAGGTACCCAATTTACGTTGGGTCCTCAGGTGTTAGGTGTGTAATGGTAGTGTGCTTGATTTTGTGATAGGTGCCTATGCCTAGTGTAACAAACGGGAGCAATATGGCCTATCCTATTACAAAAATGGCAAACTACATTGGGGTTGTACATGTGCCTAGGTTCATAATAGTTAGAAGGTTTAACCATTTTGTTCCTATTTTGTGAAAATGATGGTTTTTGGAAATTTTGAAATTGTCCTCTTCTAGGTGCTCTAGCATTATTTCTTCTTATTTGAGAAAATTCATTTTTATGCACAAAATCATTTTTCTTAGGTTGTCTAATATGACCATTTTCATTCCTAGGTTTTAGTCTAGGTTGTCTAGTGTCCTTCGGTTGACTAGGTTTTCTATTATCTTCATTTTTAGGTTTCTTATGTTGAACCTTAGATGATTGTCTAGGTGGTGGCTCAACATTATCTTTAGCTTTATTTTTATCAAAACCTATTCCTTCCTTAGAAAAATGCATAGTGTCAAGAAGTAAATTTAAGTCTTTGTGAGGAGTATTAAATTTCTTGACCGTGCTCTCAAGTTTAGCGACTTGCTCNGCTCAAATTCCTTCTTCATGAACTTGTGGAACTTCTTGATGACGAGCCCGAATTCATTGTCGTCATCGCTTGAAGCCTCTTCCACCGGTTCCTTGGTGGCTTTGAGAGCTATCCCCTTTTTCTTTTGTTCATCCAAAGACGGGGTTAGAATAGTAGATTCATAGGTTTTAAGGTTACCTCTTAGCCCGTCGATGGTGATGTTGGAGACTCCAATGGATTCATAGATTGCATCGGCTTTTGACCTCCATTCGGGTGTGAGGCTTCGCAGGATTTTCCTCAAGAGATCCTTGTTGGTGTAAGTCTTTTTGAGAGCATGAAGGTCGTTGATGATCTTTGAAAACCGGTCGAACATGTCATCAATTTTCTCACCTTCTTTCATCCGGAATATTTCGTACTCTTGGGTGAGAAAATCGATCTTCGCTTCGCGAACTTGATCGGTACCTTCGTACGTCACTTCAAGCTTGTCCCACATCTCCTTGGCGGTTATGCAACACGAGATCTTTCGGTAGTCATCGGGGTTGACCGCGCAATATAGCATATTGATGGCCTTTGCATAGTTTTCAATCTTCTTGATGTCCTCGGCATCAAATTCGTTTTCGGTCTTTGGGACCGTGGTTTCTCCCACTTTCTTCATAGGGATTTCTTCGCCATTTTTGATCACCAACCACAATTGGAAGTTGGTGTAACGAATGTAGATTCTCATCCGTTCCTTCCAATAAGAGTAGTTGGTGCCATCAAAGAGTGGTGGCCTAGAAGTTGATTGACCTTCTCCAATTCCTGCATAGAGATTTCTAGAAGAAGAGCCATGATCGCTTTACTCTCAAACGGTTAAGTTTGGACGCGAGTTAGGCTCCGATACCAATTGTTAGAATAAGAGACTAACGCTAGAGGGGGGGGTGAATAGCGTTTGATCAAAAATCGCAGGAATAAAAAATGAATAAACGAGAAGTAAAGAGAAGAGTAAGAGGCACACCAATTTTACCCTGGTTCACCACAACTTGTGGCTAATCCAGCCTCCCGAGAGACTCCCTCGAGCTACACTACTACCTCGTTAAGCTTAACGGTGCTTAACAAACCCGTACAACTTGAGAATTCGAGTTACACGAACCTCAACGAACCTTCGAAGGAAACATCCCTTCCTTCGAACAACAAGAGAAATACCTTCTCTTGTCAAGTGTTTAAGAACACTAAAAACACTCAAGAACAATACTCTCTTTTAGAGTGGATAATGAGTAAACTAAGAACGCTCAAGAACACAACACAAGCTTCACAGAAAAATGGCTCTCAAAAGCTATGAATAATTGAAGAATGATTTGCAATGAAAGAGTAGGAGTTGTGAAGTAATGTGATATGTAAAACAGACCCAAACACCCCATTTTATAGTAGAAAAATAGGCTCCAACGGACCAAAGTATTTAAGGGGTGATTGGCACAATTTGTGGGATTTGATGAAATTTGGATCTGCTGAAATTCACCCAGACAGCGATGTCCTAGGCTTGGACATCGCTGTTCTAGGCTTGCGTTTTGAAAATTGGGAAGCAACGGTCATGCCAATTGGATGTCCAATATTCCTACATCGCTGTTTTGGCTGTTGACTTCCAAACAAGGAAAGTTTTAGCCTTAAATTCCTTCCAACGGTCAGGTCCTTACATCGTTGTTCAATACTTGAACATCGCTGTTTAGGTCTGACTTTGAAGGTGGAGTTTTGGCCTGATAGCGCTGTTGCTGGGTCAACATCGCTGTCCTGAAACTTTCTGCCAATGCACTATATTTTTGGCTTAGGTTGGACAGCGCTGTAGGGAGGCCTACATCGCTGTTCCAGAAGTTTCTAGAAATCCAACCTTGGCTCAACAGCGATGTCTAATGTCCAACATCGCTGTTGGAGGACTTAACGCCAAATCATGTTTTTAGCTACCCAAGCTAGACAGCGCTGTTGGTTACCTCAACATCGCAGTTGGGCTGGTTTAGCCAGACCCATGGTTGGTTTAGTCACGGCATTAGCCGATGTCAAAAATGTGAGTTCTCCAAAATAAAAGCCAAGTATTGAAAATGTTTG